GAGTCAGAGCTTGCAAAAACTAGGTCTGAAGATTAAAAGGCCCAAGATTAAAAGACCCTGTTGAACATCAAAGTCAAGTTATAGGCTGAGATTACCACCTACTGCTGTATGCTGAAGGGCTAAAAAGACCTCAGTCTCAATAACACCCTGGATAGCAGCATCTCCATGGGAACCACCCAAAAGATCACCACCACCAATGTTTTCCTCTCATTTTCTCCTGATATTAGCATCCAAGTTGACTTGGAAAATTTGATTTTCTTTTGTATCTAAGAGTCTTGTCATAAAATGTAACTAGCATTTGCCATTTTTTAAATAGTAGGTCAAAAAACGAGACTGGCACACACTGTGTTTCCAATAGTTTCAGGAGGTTTCACAAATGGTGCTACAGTTAGTTAAGCCTTCCCAGATCTCACGGCAGTCTAGCCAACCTTGATGTGAGCTGCCCCTCTGGGGGCTGGTTGATATTTCCTACTAAATTCACAGACTAGCATTTTCATGTACATTCTGGGAATCAATGAGACGGGGGTCATTGGTAACTATTTAAGAACAATAAAAAAGAAAATTATGTTTTTTGTTTGTTTTTTCCATTCTGCAAGCATTATATTCACACACTGTAATTAGGAAGTATAATTTGACAAACTTGTCAGTGAAAATCTCTTTTGCACAAAAGAGACCTGATCGTTACATCAACCTAGTAAACAAGTGGAGCCCTCTTGTTTTATTTATAGATCTGGTCTTATTTCTAAGCACAATTAGGTCTCCAGGTAACCAGCTCCCATTCACATGAAGCTTTTTCTTTTTATTTCTACATGATTCATTCTGACTATTGTCATTTTTTAAATAAAACTATGGGAAAAAATCTCTCATCTAATCACCCAATCAGCAGAATATATTCTATCTCTAATGGTACCTAGACACTACTGGGGTGGGATAAAACGTGCTCATATTTATTTAATAAATAAGGTCTCAGGGCTCCTTGAACTCCTTGTTACAGATAATCCAGCAGCTTTCACTGCACTAAGATATTGATTCTTTTCCTGTTTCCTATAATGAACTTCCATGTGCATATTTTAGATATAAAAATTTATATCCCTCTGATTATTACAATGAATGTACAGTGTGGCCTTATATGCTGAAGAGTGATCCATTAACCAATAGACGTTTCCTTTTTTGTGCAATGTGAATAAAAAAAGTGTTTTATTCTTCTTCAAGAATATGAAGATAAGCAGCTACATTCTGAATTCTATTACATTTACTTCAGAGCTATATGAGTAGTCTTCCATTTACATACTCACATGTGTAATGAAGAAATCCATCTCATTAGTTCAAACAGTATTATCTATTCATCCTATGAAACTTTATTATTTTCCTCTTTTAAAATTTATATTTTCTTTATGTTTATAAACCCATTCTGGAATTTCTATACATATTCTACTCATTAATCTTTTTTATTTAAATTAGTGGGAAGTTTTAAAAATACACAAGATTAGGGAGACTAATATGAATACTAGTAATGCAGTTATCATTTATTCGGTTTCAACAGTTTTCAACATATTGCCATTCTTGATTATCTGCCATTTTCTACACACCTAAAAAGAATTTTGCTGAAGTATTTTAAAGTCACTTCAGACAGGATATATTTCACACATACATACTTTATTCTTTCTTATAACAATTGTATTCTTATCACAACAAACAAAATTAACAATAATTCATATCATCCCATGATTAGGCCATGTTTAATTCTCCCTTACTGTCTCAAAAATGTCTACACACAATGAACATGTTCAAATTAGGGTCCAAAAATTGTCTCCAAATTGCATTTTTCTACTTTTATTTTTTATTTTTTTGGAGTCACTTTTAATCTAATAGCATTTTGAGCTCTCTTTTTTGTAGCACTTACTTGCTGAAGAAACTGCCTTTCTTATTTCTTGGTAATCTTTCCTCAGTATTGATGGACAAAGCTTACCTACCTTGATTCATATGCAACCCATAAGTTAGTCACATTGATGTCTCCCATGTTTTTAATCTGCTGGGTGCAAATTGTCCCCTGACAAGTAAAAATTGTTGTGCCTTATATAAATGAAATAAAATTCTAAATGAAATATACATATATAATGAAGATAGAGTTAAATATAGAATTTTACTTTAAAATGATTATATTGATATTTGCTGATCTCCTACTAAAAGCTTTCACGTCCATTATCCATAGGATAGCATGATCTTTGGCACATCTTTCTAACAAGGCTCAAAGGAGAACTTATACATGAGATATACATACTCCACCTGCAAATGCAGATACAATTTTGTGGGTAGCTATAGCTTTCTGGTATATGGCTTTCTGGAAACTGTGCTTAGCATGATCCATCTTTTCCACAATTAAAACCACCCTGTTTTCAATGTCTTAAAAAATGGTTTTAAGATTTATAAAGTTGAGAGACCAGATGGTTCCCTTTCCAAACATTTATATTTTCCTTATCCAATAGCAGGAAGTTCATTTCAGATTTTATTTCTGTGTTTGGATTGTTGTGTTTCCTCTAAGTTAGAATGCAAACAAATGGAGATGTATGATAAATTTTCAATATATTGTGCAAATGGTGCTGTTGCTACTTGTTTGGATAACATCGTGTGAGTAATTCATTCCAAAAGTACACTGTCAAGAATCTGAGATAAGAAGAGTGGAGTGCTGAGTGGGTATCTAAGAACAGGCATGGGAATTTTACACATATTTTTCTTTTCAAATATCTGAAATATTTAAGGCATATGGGGAAAGAAACTATTTATTTAAATGGTTCTGTGCAAAATAAATGTTTCCATAATTGTATTTGTAGTGGTATTATTTTATTTTGTTTTCTTTTTGTGTGTGTGTGTGTGTGTGTGTATGTAACTTAGTATGATGATAAGTGGAGCAATTCTGAAATATAATTGTGAGATCCTTAATGGAGAACCTAAGAAAATTTCATTTAATTTCTCAAAAGATTTACGTTAGGGTCTGTTTCAAGGAGCCAAATTGATAAGTAGATATAAGTAGCTTCATTTCAAATAATCCAAATTTAGTTTTGTCATGTTTAATTTTCTTTTAGTTATGAATAGTGTAACCCTCACAGCTTAAGATATGAATATGGTAAAATCTCTCATTTTCTAAATTAACCGTTTCTGGAGGCTCCACATATCCTGGCTAGTAAAATGTCTAATATCTTCCTCTTTGTCAGTCCTTCCTTTTGAGCATCCTTGGGCCAGCTTTCCCCAAGAACCATGAGAATTTATCAAGTTTAAAGTGTGTAAGTGGTCAGTCCTCTTCCAAGTAACAGGTGTAGAGAGACCTGCAAAGTCACGTCGTTTGGTTAATATACTACATAGGGTAGCAATCCTTCCAACTAGATGGATGCTCTTTATGATCAGTTCCTGTTCAAGTCCCCATCATGTTATCTTATTGAAATCCAAGTCAGAGCTCTCTTAGTCCATACCTAGATGCCATTGTTTCCCAAAGCTTGGCATAGTGTAAGAAGGATTAGGTACCAATTTGTGAGATTCTCTTTGTGATACTTACTGTTTTTTCCTTGTCACCTAACCTTCATAAAGCTCACTGTTTCCACTTGACCAAGTTTTACTGTATTTAAAATTCAAAGACTCCTGTTCTTAATTGACTCTACCAAATTTGGGTATAAAAATGAAATGACATCTAAAAAATAGGATAGTATTCACTAATGTTGGCACAATGAAGGGTCTTTTATGTAACTCTTCCTGCAATCATTGTATTAAGTTTTACTTAATACACAGAGAACATAATTGTTAGTTATGTCCCTTTACATACCCCATTACACAGCCCTGCACTAACAGATGTTAAGTTTTAGTTCACAGATAAAGACAATGTTGTCTAAGCTGGAGCCCTCTGAGCCCTAACTGTAATTTAGGATCAAAATGTAGGCTTCTTCCCTTAATTTCATGATGATGAAGTCCTGAGCAAGGATAAATCAGCCCAGCTTTAGCCTAGACCATAAACTTGAGAAAGCCATTTAATTCATCTAAACTAGGCCATTTAAGGTAACTCAATGAAGATTAAAAATTTAAGACCAAAGTTTAAATGGTTCATCTGCTTTCTCAGTAAATGAATGAATTATTTTTAAAACCAATGTGAGAAATGACAGAGGAGAAAGAGGACTGAAAGCATTGCTTGCTCTTTTTCTTTATGACCTTTATTACCTTAATGTTATATCCATGTTCAGTAAGTAATAAAATTGTTTCTTGTTTTAAGTAATTCAGTAGAATAATACCTTTGAATAAATAATTTATGAATTTAAATCATTTGATAATTTTAGCGTACATAACTGTGAAAATGCTGATAATGATATGATAAAGTATGATCGTTAAAAGTTTCCTTTTTCATTTCTAGTTTCCATTTTAATTTCTTCCATTAACTAAACAGAACCTCCCAGTAAATTTACAGTATACATAAAAACAAAAACATGCTTTCTATGAGTTTCAAGACAAGTTGCATAACTACTCCCTCCGTACCTCAAACTACCAACCGATTTGTTGCTAAGACCTTTCTATTTAGAAATTCTAGATTGCTCAATGTTATAAAATAATTTAGAGGTAACTGGTTTCTCCCAGCACCTTTTTGAATACCCTATGTCCAACATAAACTGTGATCAGAATGCATATATGATAAGTCTCCTAAAAAATTAATTTCTTTATACGCCACATGTGACAGAAATTAAAATCTTTAACAGAATCTAGTAAAAGCTGCTAAATGCTCTGTGTGTGTTTTCCTGTGTATATGTGTGGGTGTGTGTGGTATGTGCTTTTCTGTGCCACAAAAACCCAGAGGGATATTTGCTATTTTAAAAAACCTACAATCAATATTATGTGTACTGTGATTATTAGAAACACTGTTACCAGATTTCTACTGTTAATAGGGAATTAAAAGAGGATTCCTATGACAGAGCAAATGTGAATTTCTGAATTATAGAGTAATTAGAACTATGCTTTTCATTCAGCTATTACTTGTCGAAAGCAAGATGGAGGACAGGCTGGCATCCATGACTGCCTCCGGTATGCAGGCCCTGTGCCAGCCCTCACACAAGCTTGCCAGATCCCCTGCCAAGATGACTGTCAATTTACCAGCTGGTCCAAGTTTTCTTCATGCAATGGAGACTGTGGTGCAGTTAGGACCAGAAAGCGTACTATTGTGGGTAAGAAAAATTAGGATGCCTAAACCAACTCTTGTCAAGGTAGAAAACCACAATAGAAGTCAGACCAAGAGAGTTTTGACAATGTATCTGAAAACTGCAACTGCCTCTTGTTGCTGTTCCTACACCAAATATGTCAGTGGACTTGGGTGTGTATTTTAATGTAAGTTGGCAGTAATAGAAGCATTATGTCATCTTAATAGAAAGAATAAGCAACCTGACTCCCTATTCAAACTGACTGTGCAATACATGATAGATTATTTTTTGGCTTAAATATACACTTGCAGTGAATTGCCTAGAAATTGCAAAGTGCTTGGAGCAAGGAAGAAAGGTTGCTTCTTCATTTTCTTAACCGAGCCTCACTGTCACAGGTTCAGGTTATCCATCATCTCCTAGAAAGAGAAATATGACATTAATTCTGTATCTGAAACTTCATCTAAAAAGGGAGTCACAATGACAAAAGTCAGTAATGTACCAAGCAACACAGGAACCCTCACACTGAACTGAAGACTAACACATTGCAAAAACTGTCAGTAGCAAAAGACAACAGAAAATATTGGTGGTAATAGACCATTCAGAATGTTTAAATTATTAAAAGAACCACCTGTAAAATGGATTCCATTGAAAATAACATAAGAAAACTTAAAGAAGTTAGAGATAGGTGTAGGTAATTAATTATATACAATAGAATATATTATATAATATAATAAAATAGTTTGTGATATAACAAAAATAATTAACTAGATATATTTTCAAGCATATATATAATTGTACTCAAGAGGAATTTATATAATTTTAAGAAGGAATTTATTCAAAACTTTTCAAATATTTTATTCTAATATTAAATATCTTCATTTTTAATATTGTTGATTTTCCTACATTAATCACCACCTATGTGAAAATGATTACTATTCAGAAATTCTGAAAAATACAATGCATAGATGGAGACATAAAGCCCATAAATCTTTTCTGAATTTTAATCCTATGTAACTACACTATTTGCAGTTACCAAGGAAGTGACTGTCTCCGGCTCATATTTCTGCGTATGTGAGGTTTATGCAATCACCTCAAATTCTCCCATCAGTGGAAATAATTTTTTCATTTTAGAGGATTTTATTCATTTTGAAGAGTTTAAAATTCAACACAGTAAGTAGTCCCTTATACAAAATGGGCCATTTTTAAATGAGAATATAAGAAAATTTTTTACTATGCAAAGCACACAACACCAGCAAAAATCTGCATAAGAAGCACTTTGGAGTGAGAAAATAGTGTTTATTTATAGGCTAGTAATGGGTATTGTTAAATCAGAGAAAGGAAGTTTAGAAAAGTAGAAAATTTAGGGATGTTTTAAATTAATAATGCTATTTTCCAACTTAAATTGTCAAATGTTTCTCTTCCACAGGAAAAAGTAAAAAGAAAGAAAAATGTAAAAATTCCCATTTGTACCCCCTGATCGAGACTCAGTATTGTCCTTGTGACAAATACAATGCACAGCCTGTAGGGAACTGGTCAGACTGTATTTTACCAGAAGGGAAAGTGGAAGTGTTACTGGGAATGAAAATACAAGGAGACATCAAGGAATGTGGACAAGGATATCGTTACCAAGCAATGGCATGCTATGATCAAAATGGAAGGCTAGTGGAAACATCCAGATGTAACAGCCATGGTAATGCAATTTTTCTTCAGTTTTCATATTTGCTGTCTTTGGGAGTAGAAGTAAAATGCGTATGTATGGTACTAAAGCTTTTCGGGAGTGTGTTCTAAACTGAACACAGTGGAGCACCACATGATGTTTCACTTATATCTAACAGGACACTTGGTGGTATCGTCTAATTGTCCAAAGCCAAGAAGTCTGATGGGGCCCATATCCTTAAAAGAATAGGCACAAATGGTTCCAGAAACCTCTTGGAGCTTTTCAAGAGCCTTTTCACTCAGTAGACCCAACAGTCCCCAATGGTCTGTGTACAGAAAGGATTTAAAGAGGAAATAATGTTTGAATTCAAACTGAGATTAAAGTTTTACATGAGACAGACTTTTAACAACCAAACTGGCAAGCTTTGTAATGTGCCCTAAGTATCATTAAGTAGCAGAGAGGAGAGGTGGAAAATAGTAATTGGTGAAAACTCAAACATCTGTTTATTGTCCATCAAGCTGAGATTAGCAAAAAATAAAACCACAACAACAGAACACAGGAAAATGTACATAGTCCTAGAAAACTGGATGCTCTTATTTTCTAAAGCAAAATAGAAAACGAAAATGCACTGATAATTGAGTTGCAAAAAGTTTGAATCGTGGCCATCCTTGATCAAAATATATACTGAACTCCTTGAGTTTTTTTCCTTAACATGGGCAGCATTAAACGATATTTGTCCACTATTCTTTTATTTTAATACATCTGTTTTGAATCACAGATGTGTTGTAATTGTATTCTCAAGCACTAGTTAATGAACTCCAAGCTTTTTGATAGAGATGACCAAAAAAGAATGAGTTAAATGGCTAGGAGCTAGGTACACTACCCTCCAGCCTTGCCAAAATAACTTCTGCTATTGGGACAAACTAATGGAACCATCTCACATTTACAAACTATCAAGATACCACAGTGACACATTTATTGGAATCTCAAACCTTTCTTTACAATGTTTTCTAAAAACGTTTTCCTTAAAAAAAATCATAGAGTTCCTGTTTCATCAAAGTCTAGAGATGTGAACCTCAAATATTCCATGGTATTGAGAATCTAGATATAGTATTTTTCATGTTAACATATGTGCATTAGAAATTGGAGATTATTCCATTCACTTAGAACAGTAACTACAAAAGAAAAATATTTATTATAGACATACTTTGAGAAATGTCTCTAAGAGTAAATGAATATTTTATTTTCTACCTCAAAAAAAGATACTATGTCTTAAATACCAAGAAAAATATAAATTTCCTTCCTATTTTGAGATTATAAAGTAGAAAATCATAATTACTTATTAAAATGTGAAATTCAAGATCACTTTAAAAATGTGTTTCTTTTGGAATGCTGCATATAAGTGTTCACTCACATTTAACTTGTTATGCATAGTTAGCCACTGAGATAATAATTTGTTTATAGAATCACCTGTGAACTTCCAGAATGACTTTAATATATTCTCACTTTTACCCTGATCTGCTAATTAGATGCAAGAGAGCTTAAGTAAGTCACTTAACAATCTTATTTTTAGGGAAAAAAAAACTTTTAAAATATTCTGTGACTCTAACAAAAAAAAATTGGAATACTTATTAAAGAAAAAAAATACAAAATTAATTGAAATTGGCCAAAGACAGAAGACTTCTTCCACTGTCAATTCAAAGCACTGGGAATGAAGTACTGTATTCCAAGGATAGGTATAGATAGAAAAAGATGTGTTCATGATAACATTGAACATCATGGGACTTGGGAAAAGATATTAGATCTTTAACTAAGTGAACAGTTCCAATGTAGTTCTTCCATTTGTCCTACATCATTTCTATCCTGCTGAACCTGATCTATGATGAGATATCCAGTGGGATATTTTAGTGTTTACTAGATATTTACTCAGAGTCAAGTCTGCAGCATTGAATCTCTATTGACTAATTTCTTTGGCAATTACTACTTTCCTTAATCATGTTTTCTCAATTCTGATGGTATTTGTAAAATGTTATAATTTTGCCACTCTATCCAAGTCATGCTTGCAATCTCCATGACAACTGCCTTCTCCCTGCCAAATCAGCTTTCAAGATGAGGTGGAAGTGGGCTTTCAAGTGGCCTTGAAGAAGATGTCTCTTCCTCCTCTCCATTTAAACATAAAGTTGATCCCCCTGTGTGCTCAGTACGTTACACTAATCCCCTATGAAACAGTGGCCTTGGGGCATTTCTGTTTAATCATTGTTGTTCATCTGTGGATCATGTTATCAGTAATTACACAGATAAAACAGTTTGACTGTCACCAATTTAATTATATATTATTTTAGACTGTTTCCCATGTGGTCATTTTTTTTTTACATCTTCAACTTGGGGCACGATTTTATTTTAATAGCTTGGACTTTCTCATAATAATAGACTCTGTGCTGAAAAGTGATTTAACTACATTCCTAAAAGTCAGATCTTAAGGTATACCTTAGAAGCCATGAAAACCTTCATCCATCCTGATATGTGGTATTAAATATACTTGCAGCAAAAATGTCAATATGCACACATCTGATAAATATTTATGTATGTTGTAATGCATTTTGGAGCATTATCTCTCCTAAAAACATAATACAAATAATATATATAGCATTTTGGTATGAAATCTTGAAAGGTGTCACTCTAGCAACAGATTTTTAATCACTCATAAACCAAATTAATTACACATTTTCTACTCACCACTAGTGCTCTTTCCTTTTCTTTTTTGTTTCTTTTCTTTATTCTTTCCTTTTCTTTCTTATTTATTTGTTCTCTCTTCTGCCAGTACTTGGAAATGAACCCAGGACACTGAAGATCTAAATTGATTCATTTTCTAGAAGTTTATGCTTTACTGAGTGCCTAATTTCTTAAGTTAATTACCTTAAAAATTTCACAGAACAAACTTTGAATGGGCAAAGTAGAGGGAGGGAAAAGGAGGGTACATGGGAGCAGGAAAGATGGTGAAATGAGAAGGACATCATTACCCTAGGTACATGTATAACTGCACATAGTGTGATACTACATCATGTACAACCATAGAAATGTGAAGTTGTGCTGCAGTTGTATACAATGAATCAAAAAGCAGTCTGCTGTCATATACACTTAATTAAATTAATTAATTCAAAAAATTTTCACAGAATAATAGAATATCTGAACCTCTAAAAATCACATTATTTAACCTTGATATCTTAAAGAATCTCAGAGATAACCTAGCTTATGCAAGGTACACATAGACAACATTTCCATTTATGCATAAGTGATAGAATTTTACGCTTAATCCAACTCAGCATTCCAAAATCCCTTATCCTGCTCCATGTTTTACATTTCTATAGCATACATCACTTTATACTATATAACTTACTTATTAGTAATAATACTACTAATAAGTATACCTTAACATATAACTTACTTATTACGTTTTTTTTTTTTTTTTTTTTTTTGGTGGTGGTGGTGCTGAGGATTGAACCCAGGGCTTTGTGCATGCTAGGCAAGCACTCTACCAACTGAGCTATTTCCCCAGACCTCTACAATTTATGTTTTTATTTCCCATGTCAGTGTAAACCTATGAGGATATATTAGACTATTTTATTTACCAACGTATCCTAAGCACCTAGAATAATAAATACCAGTAAATATTTGTAGAATTATGAATGGATGAAATGCTAGAGAGAATTTATTTTTCCCTACAAAGAGTTGAGCCCTAGTGGGGCTGCATTTTATCCACAGTCAGGTTATGATGCACTTCTTTTCCATCACTCCATATCATATTTCTGGGCAATAAACAGATCATTGAGATCACTAAATCTTTTACCAAAAATAAGTACTACATGTGCCAGAAACTTTCTGTGTGATACTGATCAAATATTCAGGTTTTTCTCTACATACTAAGTGGGAGAAGAAATATTAGTAGCACACCTATTCCACTTAATGAGGTCAATAATACCCATTTTAGAAAATCTCTTTGATCCCCATGTAAAGTTTTCTGTTCAGAGTTGCCTGATTCATACAACAGTAGGTTTGGATAATAGATTAACCCGTTGGTTCATGTTGATAACCACTATGACAACTTGGATTTTCCCAAACTGGAAAATTACCAATTTAAAGGGATTGAATTGTGTGTTTGGGATATTTATGTAATTCCACACACTCTCTCTGTTAAAATATGGAATAACTCTATTTGATTTATGTGAAAGGGACACTTTAAAGATGAATTAGATAAAAATAGTTGATGCTCCAGTTTTGAGCACTGTGAGCCATATAATTCCTTCTAGACAATTCTCTTTAAACTTACCCTCAGATTTTTTCTCCTTTGGTATTTCACATCGTCAGTTTAAGCCATACTGCATAATCAGTAAATATTCTAAGACTGAACTCAATTAGACATGTGATGTTAAATCGTTAGTCAGCATCAAGCAAGCACAAAGGTTTATCTCGTGAGTTTTCTTCCTGACTCCACATTGTTTAATATGCATAACTCTCCTATTGCCTAAAAGTAAAATATTGCTGTTGATACCTATCAAATATTTACTAACAGAGGGAGAACATGAGGAATCTCAATAATTGGCTATTAGATTAAATTACTGTCACCAAATGTTTTCCTCAAGGGCCAGATAACAGACACGTTTGTCTTTGTGGACCAGAAGGTCTTTGTCGCAACTACTCAGTTCTGCATTTGTAGCATGAAAGCTGCCGTGGACAATAATATGTGAGCAAATGAGCTGGGCTGTGTCCCAATAAAACTTCATGTACAGAAACAGGCTGCCAGTATAGGCTATCAATATCACAGGGATCAAATCCTTGCTACTAAAATGTGCTCTGTGGACCAGCAATATAAAGATCATTGAGAAACTGATGGAAATTCAGCAACACAGCCCAATCTCAGACCTACTGAGTCAGAATCTGAATTTCATCAAGATCCATAGGGGGTTCTCCTGCACATTAAAAAGTTTGAGTGCACTGGATCAAACAGTCACTCACAGGTACTGTAGCTCAGTAGG